ACTCAGATTGAAAATCTTTTTTGGTTAAATTACTAATAGAAGTTTTGATTAATAATACTTTTTCGTGGTGTTTGATAGTGGGATAAAAAGGGGCAACCGCAATTATTTTGTTATTTTTTTTTATTATATTACGGAGAATGTTCGGGTTGTCGTCTATCACCACCTCACAATCAGGCACATTTTTTTCAATTCATTCTCCTTTTGTTTGTCCTTGGCCCTCGCTCTCAAATCCCAACAGATTCAACGAACAATTAGAAAATCTACCAAAAGTTTCCTTGAATATTTTTTTCTTGCGGGGGTCCCCGTCTGAGAAAACCCTTTTGTCATAAGCCGATAGGAAAACCACCTCCACTTTATTTTCTTTAACTAATTTTAATAATTCCTTAGCCAGAGTAAGAAAAGGAGAATTCTCGTAAAAATCGGGTTCATTTTTTATTTTGTCAATTTTGTCTTTGACTTTTTTTGGACCAAGAGCCATGCCTATGCAGCCTCTGATTGTGCTTTTTTCAGTATAGATAGAATGGCTGCCATAATCCGAAAAATAGATTGGAGAATTGGGCCAGAAATCCCGAAAAAATTCCTCAAATGTGGTTCCATTAGGTTTTCACCAGGGCGTGTCATAGCATGCCCCTTCTCGTTCGGATAATTCGTAATATACTTTGGGTTCAAGAGGTTGAATTACTTCGTCTCAATCACAGACCACTTTTAATTTTTTGGGAGTATTTTTAAAATGGCTATAAAGACAATTAATTACCCCTTTTCTTTCAGCTTCCTCTGGAATTTTTTTCTCTTTTTCGTTCTCCTCTTGCGTTCACCTTTTTTCTGCCATATAATACAATTTTAGAGATTAAATGTTAGTAGTTTTTTCTTATTTATTATGTTTAATATCCACACAAATTTGACCTTCTATTTTGCGTTTTTAGTCTACGTTTTTGGACAACTTTTAAAATATTAATATATGCCTGTTGAAAGAACTCTTTCCATCATCAAACCTGATATAATTAAAAAAAATCAAATTGGAGAAATTATTAATTTTCTAGAAAAAAAAGGATTAAGAGTAGTCGGAATGAAAATGATTCACTTAACTCCAAAATTGTCGAAACCGAAGCCTATATCGGAAAAATTGACCGAGCCTGCCACGCCCACCAAGAAAATAAATCAAAATGAA